CAGCGCCGTCTAGCGAGTTTTCTAGTCCCCTATAATAGGACTATATATGCAAGGTATAATCACTGAAAATTTGACTGAAATCTATTTAGTAGTTTTTGAATTAAGTCCGAACAACGAAAACGGCTATTATTTTATTACTTTGTTGTAAAACAGGTATTGCAAAATCGACATTTGTTGTGAGAAAACCATGCCTATTACCATTCTGAGGGCAAAATATAGAACTGTGTACATTTTCGCGTTATTCGGTGGTGTGGTTGAGGCGTGATGCTCCGACCCCGTACAGACTTTCACATTTATATATAGAGATTCTAGCCTAAAGGCGTTAAAATGGGCTTTTTTTTAAAATTTCAAAAACTTATATAATCAATAATACACTTTTTTTTAATACTGGCACAAATTCTACCTTAAAGTGCACTGTTTCACCTTTAAAAATCTTTTAAATATTTTTAATTACGGTTATTCCTCGCTGAGATATAAAAGTTTAAGCAACGCAATTTAAACTACAATATTAGGTCCACCATTTTGAATTTGAATTGTTGTTGTTTTTTTTTTTGTGAATTTAAATCATATTTTCATACAAATTTTCTTTCTTTTTTTATGAATTTGGATGCTAGTATTTAAAAAATTGAACCATTCGGACCGAACCAAACCGAACAGTGGAAAGGAGATATTCATGACCCGGTTCTAGTACCGGTACAAGTTTTTTCTAAGTGGTTCGAACCACTGAACTGAACCGCATCGATTTTGAAGCGGTTTGCAACCCTTGTTTTCAATGTATGGTGATTATGTGTAATAATTGTTCTTCACACATGAACAATTAATCTTACAAAATTAATGAAAAAAGCAAAAATAAATATAAAATAAACAATATAAAGTAATGGCACAGTGAATGATCAGTCCTTGAATCGACATAAAACCCTTATATATCGAACACCTTATTTCACTTATACTCTTCTTTATTCAAACCGATTCCGTTATTAAATATTACAGGTGTACTCAATTCTGGTTCAGTGATTTTCGTTATAGGTATAGCTATAGGATGAAGGAGTTTTAAGGGAAAACTATCCCGCTTTCTATACTGTAACTAAAGTTTTGGATAAGAATGAGCAAATTGAAGTTAGAAGACGTAGAATTAGAATAGTTTTAAACCCAAGCGATGTCGAAAAACGTTAAGTTTTGACTTTACAAAGGAGAACTATGAAATTCTGAAAACATCAATACAAGAGTAATGCCGTCTATAATTTGAAGTTAAACCTTAAAGGATAAGACATGAAGGGCATTTGAAGAAGTAAAATATAACCTTTCTAGCAGTGAAGAGCGAAAAAAAACTCGAAAGTCTAGAAACTCTAACCTAAGTTTTAATGAAATGACAGCTCTGGAAAGCAGACAAGTGTGTTGGAAGTTTGAAATACATAAAAAGTAAAAGATATATATCTATATATATATTTATTTCTTTTAAGCCACATAAAAACTAACTCCTTAGCCTCGAAACAGTGCAATTAACACGGGTATGAAACGATGCTGTAATACAAATTCTACCAAAATTAAATGAACTCAAACTGGGTTCCACGAAGACTAGTATGAAATTTAGGTTTCAGATAAAAGAAGCGGTGCGTGGTTTATTAAATTAGTGTCTGCTCAAAAGTGGCTAACAGCGCTCTTACACGATATGCATTTGCATTTGTAAATGTTACTTTTTTGTATCTACTCGTATGTAATATATGTATGTATATTAGAACGTATCAGAAAAGTAGCATTTACATATGCAAATTCATATCGTGTAAGAGCGCTATAAGCAGGCAGACTTTTGTTTCAGCTTCAGTCTATCTGGGCGGAAGCTCACCGTTAGAGCGGAGTATTGTGCAAGCTTGGCAAGATTTTTTTTTGGATAGTTAAACAACCGAAGTGCGCGTAATAGTCAGTTGCGCTAAAACATATGTATGTAACTTGAAAGCTTCCCTACCGGGTATAGAGTATTTTCAAACTTTTCACATACACATGCACTTTTGTACATACGTAGATATGTACATATGTATGTATGCACATATGTGAAGGTGCTATTGTTGCTTTTATACTGCTCTTAATTGCAAACGCCTTCACAGCCCTCAATGTAGTATGCACATTAGGGTGGTCCAAAAATGCATGTGAAAAAGTAAAGTCGAAATTTTTATGCTCTCACCCCCTAGGATTGTTCTATACCGAAAAAATATACCCCAATTTTTTTATTTTGAAATCAAAAAATATTTAGAGATCGCTCAAAGCGCCCAAAGTTTTCCATGTATTTTATATGGGGAAAAGCCACTTTTCGTATTGTTTATTTAACCATTTTTTCATCACAACTATAATTTATAGGTCCGCCAAATACCCACAAAAACCCTGAAAAATGCAATGGGTAGGCCAATAAAAAATCGTCCTGAAGAGAACCCGAGCTTTCCGATCGAAAAATATTGATTTTCAAGAATTCTATACCATTTCGACGAAAAGTTGTTTTTTCCCATATAAAAATACATGGAAAACTTTGAGCGCTTTGAGAGACCTCGAAATATTTTTTAATTTCAAAATAAAAAAATAGGGGTATACTTTTTTCGATATAGAAAAATCCTAGAGGGTGAGAGCATTACAATTCCGACTTTACTGTTTTGGACCACCCTAATGTGCATACATATGTACTTATGCAACTATAAAATCTTCCATCCAGTGATCGGACTTTTACCACATTGTGGTAGATCTTCCACTTTTTTAAGCATCCACCACATCTACCACACAAGGTATGAAATCTACCACATATTCGCATTTTTGAGTAGTAATAATTTAGCTCACATGATTTTCCCTATTTTTTTTAATTTTAAGAGGAAAAATTGTCCAACATTAAACGCTATGAGATAACAAGTAGGGACGCGATATCGAACCGATATAATACTCATTTAAAGTATCGCTGTAAAAATATCGGGTACCAATCAATATAGTAATAAAAAGACTCGATATTCCAAATATCGATAAAAAATTCAAAAAATTAAATCTGAATATTGGTCTTATTTTTTAATAAAGAATTAACACTTTGCACTTTAATAAGTACATCACTGACGGCACGCCACATTGCAACCTAAGATAGTACACATTTCTGGGCTTTAAAGCGCAAAATATATCCATATTGCTTTACAAATAAATTCCAAAGTAAGTAAGAAGGTTATAGTACGACAGAGATTTGCAAGAAATGGAACCCTAGCTAAGGCTAAGACTCTCAGCTGAAGGTCTTATTTGCGTTAAAAATTTGTTTAAAAACAATATTAACAAGAAAACTTTCAATAGAAATTTAAGTAATGTAACGTCGCATCAGATACTTCGGCTGATAAAAAAAGCAGGACAGATTTTTACATCTTGGAATTTGGAAAATTAACCTTTAATATTTCAAATATTACTACAGGCGGCCGCTGTGGTGTAGTGGTTAGCAGTGCGCGTTTCCACTTCGCAGCGCCTGGGTTCAAGCCCTGGTCAAAGCAACATCGCAAAAAATTTTAGAAAAAAAGGTTTTTTCTTAACAGCGGTCGTCCCTCGGCAGGCAATGTCAAACCTCAGAGTGTATTTCTGCCATGAAAAACAGCTTCCCATAAAAATACAATCGCCGTTCAGAGTCGGCGTAAAACTGTAGGTCCCTCCATTTTGTGTGAAAACATCAAGGCGCATGCCAGAAATCGGAGGAGAAGCTCGGCCAAACACTAATATATGTGTAAGCGCCAATCTATTATTATTATTATTACTAAAAAAAGTTTTATACAAATAGTTTTGCCCAATTCCCAGAGTTTTTAAGTTTTGACGTTTTCATTTTATTTTCAAACATTTTGTCATAGAAATGTCATGCCACGCCAGATTGGAAATGCCCAATACAATATACCATTATTCACATTAACTTTGTAATCTACATTTACGATTCGATACGATACAAGAGTTCTGGTACCCGATTCCAAAATATATCGTTTGAAAACTATCGAGTAAAAATTATCGGTATCGAATGGCAAAAATGTCGATGCGGTATCGTATCGTATAGAAATTCGTGTCCCTAATAACAAGAATGATAGTATTCAAGATTTCGCATTCCCCGCGGAGATGAGATTTCTCAAGTAAAAGTAAACAAAGCTGAATGGGAGGAGAAAAGAAACTTTCAAACAATGAATTTTCTCAATTTTTCAATATCAAATTTTCGTCGGGAAACGTGGTTTTATTGTGTTAAAATACAAAATATATGATTTATAAAAAGAACTAATAAAGAAATTGTAAAAGATCGGCGATTTTTGTGAAAGTATTAGCACATTACAGTGCATCTAAAGTTTTTAAGGCGTTGTTTACTTTTACTTGAGAATTGTCAAAATAGCAAAACCCAAGTTAAAAGTTTTTCCTAGAGATTCTAATTAAAAATTTTGCAGTTTAGGCGAAACTTTTCTTTAATTTTTGTAAAAAGTTTAATTCAAAACTGGAGATCTACCACATTTTTTCTAAATCTACCACATTTTTTTCCAGAATCTACCACAGAGAATTTTTATTAAGTCCGATCACTGCTTCCATCCGCGCGGTGCTCCAGTTTCCAGCGGCTTTTTATCGAGTAGAACTGGACTTTTGTTTACGAGTATAAATCGTGTGCCTTGCCTGCACGTAGCCTTTTTCTACAAATTATATCAGTCTTATCACTTGAACTTCAATTTCAGCAGCCATAACTTATATATATATATATATGTATGTAACTCTCAATTATCAGTGGAGAAAACCAGTTGTGCAAATAACTATAAATTTTGCACCATGAAGCAGTCAGGAGATTAGTACTTTTAGTCCGGAAAGGAGAGGGTTTTATACATAACACATATTTTCAGATAGAAAAAATGTTACTTAATTGCTCACACTTTTTAATAAATATGATCCCAACGATATGCAATTTTAAACAGTTACTCATCTACGAAATTAACATTTAGCTTAAATCATAATAAAAATACACCTATTTTTTTTTCTAGGTCGTAACCGTGTCTTCAACTGGGCACTCAATGCCGCCGAGGATTGCGTCTCACGCGCTGTTGTCACTGCCGCTCCAATCGTCTCGAAGCTCGATCGCCCCATACAGTATGTGGACCAGACACTGGTCAAGGGTATTGACAAGTTGGAAGTAAAGGCACCTATTATCAAGGACACTCCACAGGAAATCTATAATCAGGCCAAGAGCAAAGTGGTCGAAGTAGTACAACCACATATTGAACGTGTGTCCAAATTCAAAACAGCCGGTCAACAGAAAGCTGCCTCATTGAAGGATTTGGCGTGGGCCAAGGCGAATGAAGTGTTGGCAACACAATATGGCAGCCTCGCAGTGTCTGGCGTTGATACAACAACAGCTTTGGCAGAACGTCTCCTGGAATACTATTTCCCAAAGGGCCAGGATGACGTAGAGGAGGATAATAGTGAGTGTTTAGAGAAATTAAAAAGTTTGTGCTGAAATACTTGTAGACATATAATTGTGGCTAATAAAATACATACATATGTACATAATTAAAAATTACATTATTCATTCTTGCTAACATGATACATAACTGAGAAAAGAGTTTAGTTACGTCAGCTAAATATGTCTCCCTCAACACATGATTTGGTTATAGATACATTATTTGGCTATAGTTACCACCAGATCATGTGTTGAGACAAATATATTTAGCTGACTTTTTTCTGAGTGTGCATATGTACTAGTAAGGCAAAATATAGTATTTGTGTGATATTCTTTAAGTACAAAAAGAAAGTTTAGAATATTGTATTTTTCATTTTGACACAAATAATACATATGAACGCATTTAAACAGTCAGGTGTGGCTATGCAAGTACTTTTTCAAGACGGTTTTACTGTCGAGTTGAGAAAACGAATTTCCTCTTTTACGTAAAAATTTATTTTTGTTTCGGAAATGCAATTAGCAAGGAGAGAACGAACTCAAATCGCTTTCGAAAGTTAATCTATACTTGCTCGTAATGCACCAACGATTTTAATTTATGCTCAGGTTGCTGTGTGTTTGTTGTTGGCGAATTTGTGCGAAATAACCGAAATTAATTTAAAGTAAAAAAACAAAAACTACTTTTGTAAGTTACTTTACATGCTAGGTGTAACTGCTGCTGCAATTACTTTACAAACGCTTTGAGTTTTACCGACTTTTTAAATTACCTGCACTGTGCCACGTCTAACTGCGCGTTTACTCTTTTAAAGCAGAAATAGTTTAACTGTAAATAATTTTACCCTATTTATTAGGTAAGGTTGGATTAGGTTAGGCTAGGTTGGAAGAAACATGAATCAATATAGAAGAGATAGGTTTGCTAAGTGTGCGTAAACTTATTCTGCTTAAAGTCGGACATTGGCATAAAATCTTTGAATCTTCGTACTGCAGTACCGAAACATTCGTCTAAAATTTTGCCTCCACCGAAACATGGCCGCGACAAACTCTACCAGCATCGTCTCATCTCAATTGATAAACCCTATACAAACTATTCGCCAGAAACCTAATTCTATATAAAATGTTACACCCAAATTCAATAAAAATAAAGAAGACTACGTGCTTTATACATATATAAATCGAAAGTCTAACTTTATAGAGCTCTTTAAATATATTTTATTTTTTATGTATAAGGCCATTCGTTTATGGAGTTCTTTTACGCAATCGTGGTACGCTAAAGGTGAAAAGTCCAGTTTATGTATACAGTGAGGTTGCAAGAACCATAGCTACCCACAATGAAAAACGCTTGAATATTTTGCTTATAACTAATACATAAGATTATCATATCATTGAATAGCTTTTGTTAATATTTCTAAAAACCCATACTGATAACTAACAGCTACATTTCAAGCACAGATTACTTCATTCCCTTTGGCTTGCACTTTTAACGCACCTAATATGTATATTGCTTTGTCTTTTTTCCTTTTTAGTTCATAAAAATCTAGTAAATGTTAAAAGCCGTTAAGTTTCAAAATAAAAATTTCAAAACTTGAGTTTCATCATCGCCTCGCTACATAAAATCGTAAATCAATGTAAATAAATGCATAAATAGAAATGTTTGTGATTAATTCGGATACTCTGACTTTTTTGTAAAATACAGAAATTAATTTCTTTTCCCAGATAATAAATTGCTGTCGTGAAAAATGGCAAACACGTTGAAAGTGACTGTAAGTTGAAAACCCTTCATCTATTTACCTTACATGGCATGCACATTTTTTTATTAAAAGCGAAAAAAAGAAGTATAAATTAATAACAGCTTAGCCACTCGTACCTACTAACATATACATACATATATACTTACATGCACTTATAGCACTTGTACTAATAGATACTATTTATGACTCTTTAGCAAGTTCACATCGCATGCCATAATCACATGTTTCTTACTAATGCATACAATACTAATGTCAATGATATCAATACTATTCTGTTACAAAAGATTACAGAAACGTAAATACTACACACTCTAAAAAATCTGTTTAAAAATGCGACTTTAAATCGAATATATTTTTGTTTATTTTTAAAATTTTTTGGTAAATTTACACGATGAATATGTATTTTTCTCGTTTACACATTTTCGTGTGTAAAAATCCTTTTTGTTAGCGGCTTTACACCATTCTACGGGTGAAATCAAACGGCAGGTGTGTATTTTGTAGCTTGTACACACTTTTGTAGTAAATTTACGCAAACCACAGCAGCTATATTATGCTCTAAAAAGTCCGAAATTTAAACAAACTATTCGTTGAATAATCGAGCATGTAATTTTGCAAATAATAAGGTAGGAAATCAGTAACCTATCTTTTAGCTAGGAAATCTACACAATTTTTTTTTTAGAGTGGATAATGCTAAGCTACCTCGCTGAGCGATTTCAACAGGCTCAATGTGCCAAAAAAACTCTCGAATTTAAAATCTATAACATCTGGTGTACCTCAAGGATCTATCTTACCTCCAATATTATTTACCTTCTTTATCAATGACATACTTAGTTACATGTAGCCCAATGCCTCGATGCGTATTCACGCAGACGCTACGCAAATATACATTTCGCTCAACAAATTGCAACTGGCCTTGAACAATGCAGCCCTTAAAGGAAATTTGATCATATACATATGTAGCTTTATACGCTACGCAAATTCTCGGAACCGATACACCTACATATATTTCAAGTACACGGCATCATCCAGAATGTTCTTTGTCAGCACGATTTGTTTGTGGAACTCACTTCCATCTAAGACAAGGGCTATTCGAAAAGCGGAGAGTTTCAAATTAGCAGTATTATATCTTCTCTATTCATAACTTTTACTTTCAAATACTTATTTCTCTCTTTCATTTCTCAATCTATGGTAGAAAAAAGATAATCCTATTATTAGGTATAATGCATAAGTATATTTTTTTCGATTTATCTTATATTTCCTGAGCAGTGTTGCCACTTTATCACAATTGTGGGTAATTTTTTACATCTGCCACTACTACGATATATTTAAAAAAAAACTACCTACATTTTACTGAAATAAAATTTTTCACCTAAATTGCCAAAATATTGCTTTCATAAAGTGGAAGAGCTGATTTTCTCCTTAATATCAATTTAAAAGTCTTGAAAATTGATTGTGAATATTGTGTTAGTTGATGAGCTGAAGGTGCAGCCAAGCATTTTAAATTTTCTATTGTGTACATGAACGATAAAGCTGCATTTACTTGATGCGATTTTCTTAGCGATTAAACATCGCCTGGGAAGTTGCTTACCAACAGAATTTCCACAGGCAATAAAAGTTGGACGAGTGCGATAAACCAGGTGATTTATTCATATTCATTCAAAAGTTGACCTACTGCAATCAGCGATTTCTTTGTTGCTTAGAAAATTTAAACATCTTTACACAGGCGATTTTCGTGGAGCGATCTTAAATCGTGTAAATGCAGTTTAATACCACTATATTTTGATTATCATTTGTAAACTAAGTTCGTGCGGATCCGACCATTAAATACCCGACAAGTATTCAATATAGTTTTCCCACCTTTCCGAAAACTACCGCTACGTGGTAAGAAGGGGTGGGTTTACACCTATTTCAAACATCTTCTATAGAATGCTCTGTTAGGCATAATGAGATAAACTTATATAGTTATATGCCGTCTCACGCCCATTTTCCGAAATTCCATAATAATGTTACTCCTTTTCAAGGGATTGTTGTTAGTATAGGGCTGCCTTAGGTCCCCGTTTCCAGGGATATGTCTCTGTTTCGGACCCTTTGTCCCCGTGTCCCCGTTTACAACCAAAATGTCCCCGTTTAATGCTTGGGGGAACAGTATATAATTTGCTTGTTTAAGTTTAAAATGGTTAGCGGAAAATTTTTTAGCCTATCGGATTCGAAAGTGAAAAGTGAACAATTTTGGGCGAAAATAAAACTCATGATAACGCTGCGTTTACATAAGACCATTTGATTTAATTTCATTCTCAAATTCTTCTGAAAAGTAGGCGTCCAGATCATTAAAAAGACAACACACTTTGCAGCAACCGCCTCGCAGTGCGCAATTTTGGCGATTTAGGGACAGAAAAATCGATAATCGAAGTAGGTAAAAAAAAGAATCCATCAATTATTTAAGAGGAAAAATTATAATGACATCCGATGAATGCTAAGAGGAAGTAGCTTATTTAAAATCGTTTATTGAAAAATGTACATTAAAGTGGAAAGAAATGCCGCCCTTAGAAAAATGGATTTTAAAGATACTATTGAACGCGAACGGAAAGCAAACTTGCTAAAATTTTTGCAATACATATGTATGTGGAATCCCTTCCCACAATGTGAATGTTGAGCTAGTTGTTTCTCTTATTTTATCACAATGGTCTAAAGAGAGAAACTCGCTTAACATTGGCACTGTGGAAAGTGTTGTTCAGTGCAAGTTCAACTTTAAAATGACGTGCATGAAATTTTACCATTATTTAAAAAATGAATACGAACTTTTAAGCAAAGTTAAAACTAGTGAAAAATACGAATGGCATACGCGAAAAGAGACCCTATAACATGTAATATGAGTTAGTTACGTAAAAATGTGTTAAAATAGTTCATGTTTTGTTTGCTTCCGTTTACGTTATGAAGTACAAATACGTTCCTGAATTGAATTGCACTTTTTCTTTGATCTCTAACGGTTATGTTATTTTTATTGTAAGTCAATCATATTTTAATATTTTGAAACAGGTATTGTTTTGTTTGTTTGTATATTAGGGAGGCCTAGGATTGGTCTACGCCGAAAAATGCATGAGAAAAGTGAAGTCGGAATTTGTATGCTCTCACCCCTTAGGATTTTTTTATACCGAAAAAAATATACCCCAATTTTTTATTTTGAAATCAAAAAATATTTAGCGGTCGCTCAAAGCGCTTAAAGTTTTCCATGTATTTTATATGGGGAAAAAATAACTTTTCGTAGAAATGGTATGGAATTCTTGAAAATCAATATTTTTCGATCGGAAAACTCTGGTTCTCTTCAAGAGGCTTCCAATAATAATACCCAGTTGTTTATTTAACCATATTTTAAAACTAACGATTTTTCATTGGTGCCCCATTGCAATATTGGGGTTATTGGCGGACCTATAAATTATGCTTACTATCAAAAAATGGTTAAATAAACAATCGGGTATTATTGTAGGGCATCTCCTGCAGAGAAACAGAGTTTTTTCGATCGAAAAATGTTGATTGTTAAGAGTTCTATACCGTTTCTACGAAAAGTGGTTTTTCCCATATAAAATACATGGAAAACTTTAAGCGCTTTGAGCGACCTCTAAACATTTTTTGATTTCAAAATAAAAAATATAAGGGTATCTTTTTTCGGTATAAAAAAATCCTAAGGGGTGAGAGCATAAAAATTCCGACTTCACTTTTCTCATGCATTTTTGGACCACCCTATTGCATATACATACGTTAAAACGCAGAAGTGTTCTTATAACATATGTAATATAATACGTTATGTGTATAAATGTTTCCTTGATCTCTATTTATTATGGTTTATGCAATTCCGTTGTTGTATGTATTATAACAGCGCATCAACCAAATTTTCCTCTGTAATTGAATGAGACTATAAATGTAAATATGATTTAAAACAAGTAATTTTTAACCAAAAAACAAAACCGATTTCAATTCTGATATAAAAATTTAAGATTATCGTTAATTCCTTCATGATCCAATGTTCGGTTTAAACCAAATTAGAATGGGACCACCAGTGAGGTAACACCTTTAAAAAAATAATTATAGAAATCGGTTAACGTGGTCCAAAGTTACGTGGTAATATACATAAAAAAAAAATATTCCGTTGAATTTATAACCTTTCCTTTTTGTGAAGACGGTTAAAAAGGGAGAGTGTCAGTATCCCTTTGGAAATAATTAAGTTGTTTTTTGCTAAGTGTCCCCGTTTGAGGCCCAGCAATTATAGCAGCCCTATGTTAGTATCAATTTTGAGTAAATTAGCGTCGCTTAATTGCGAAATATAGAAGTTTCAAGCATTTCTGAAAGTTATCGTGATATGAAAAGTGGTCATAATTTTAATTTGATATTCAACGTTTTGCTTTTATGTGGCAAGCACAATAATCGTAATGATAATAATGAGTTTGGTACAAATTAATGGAACGGTTACCGAGATACACATATGTGGTCACCCCCTTTTTTCCAAAATTTTAACATGATCGTATTTTTTGCTGAAGAATTATTGCAAACGTCAATTGTGAATAAACTAGCTTAGGTATTTAACGAAGATTTCTCTATTCTATTTCTCTAAATTACCGTTATATGCGATGTGGGCGTGGTTATTGTCTGATTTTAAAAATTTTCAGGCATTTGGTATGTTGTACTAAGGTAGGGCTGCCATAATTGCTGGGCCTCAAACGGGACCCTTAGCAAAAAAAAAATCTTCATTCTTTCCAAAGGTTTAGTCAAACTCTTGTTTTTTTCAAATCATCTTTACACTTATAATCTCGTTCAATTGCAAAGGAAAACTTAGTTGTTGCTCTGTTGTAATACATACAAAAATGGAATTGCATACACCATAACCCCGTGCGACAAAAACCAAAGATTTTTAAAACACACGAAAACATCAATATGTTCACAAAACTAGGAACCAAATATAGTATAACTGCGTTTTTAATTTTTTTCTCTGACGTCAGGATTTTTTTAAAGGACTTTGAAATTTCCAGGATAGGAATGAATAAAAAAAATTATTTAAAAGATTTAATGCATTATAGAGTAACAATATGGGTATCAGTTAAAAGGAAAAATTCTGTAGAAATAAAAAATAATTTAACTTTTTGTTGCACCAGGGCGAATACATAAATATTGAAAATGTCCTTTTAAAACTTTCTCTTTGAATATCCTTGGAAATTTCCAATATTTATTTTTGGAAAAAATATATGTCAAGGACTAATATGTAAACTACGACACCCTCGAATTTCGTCCTTCTAACTTTATTAGTTTTAGATAAAAAGATTTTACACTTCTCTTTATAAGATATTGATAGTTTGTTTGTTTTTTTTTTTTTTGTTCGTAGGAGAGGGAAATGCTTTATGCACTGGCCGGGGACGCTAGTCTCTATACTACCTTCCCCGAGTGTGGGACTCCCACCGAAGCGTGTTGGGCTACCCACTAAAACTCAAACTCCCACCGCCCGCGCAAAAATCCCGTATCTGGCACCGCAATTCTGCATGTCTTCAGATGCAGGAGCGCGCTGCTAGAGCCTTGGGGCTGCTCTTTTGTAGGGGTGTTTCATTCGGGTGTCCTCAGTAGACAACCGTCCTCTCGTTTGCAGCGGAGTACGAATTTCACGTATCTCGTAACTGCTTCCCACTTTTCTGCACTGGAGATCATTACCCCAATTATGTTGTTCGGAGTTATGTATCCGCATCTTTCTGCCAACATTCTGCGCGAATTCAAGAAGTGTTCAAGGTGAAGAATGTATGGTACACATTATCTTCGACGTTTCCACAGTAGTGACAGAACGGTGAGTCCACCCTTCCCATTCTATGAAGATATTCTCGGAAGTAACCATGACCGGTGAGGAATTGCGTCAGGTAGAAATCGACTTCCCCATGCGGTCTGTTCAACCATGTTTGAAGGTCGGCTATCAGGGAGTGCGTCCATCGACCTTTTTTGCTCGCGTTCCAGTTTTGTTGGCACTGCTGGATCAGTTGCTCGCGCGCTCTTTATAAGATATTGATAGTTACAATATACATAAATGAAGAAGCTAGAATCATTACACTGTACAGCACTCCGCTGGGTATTGGACCAAACCATTTTTTTTAAGAGGTCATAGTTGAAAAAGTTATTTCTCCGTTTTTCGAAGTTAGCCTCCGAAACCAAGATATGGGCCTTCGAAGTTCGAAATAGGATCTTTGGTAAAATTTTTTTTTTATTATTATATGTAAATAACTAAAAAACTAAAGATACAGACGTAGACCGCCTTTTGCTCTTATTTAAATGGTTTACAACTTTTTTTGCAAACTTATATTACAGGTGTAATAAGGAGGCAAGAGTCGGGTCTTCGAAAAAACACAAATTTGCTTATTTCATTTCTCGTTGAGCAATAAGACCAACTTTTAAACTTAACAATTTGAGTAATAAAGCAAAATAGTGCACATAAATATGTAGGTAGTCACCCAGTTACATTTGACAAAAAGTAGTACATGAACAAGTTAAATGAACGGATTTGTAAGTCGACGTTCGTTCGTCCTTGTCCTTTGTTGGAAATAAAGCAAACCTCAGATTTTAGTATTATTTCCCATTTAAAAGTGAAATAAAGCAAATTTTGTGTTATTGCCGTTTGTGTTATTTTAATAGATTTTTTTTGTGCTGATTATGAATCCGTAAGCATAAAGTTTGCATAAGCTCCAGATTTTGAAAAAAACGAGGTCAAAGTGTCAAAAAATCGCGTTTTTTGCAATATTTTAGAAGCTCTGGCAAAGAAAAAAAGGAGATAGAATCTTCCTGGCTTAAATTAAACCTAGAACTCTCGACTACTATCTCTGAAAAGAGATCTTAAATATTTGAGATCTTAAAATATTTTTACCATTATTATCTTAAACGAATTGATGGACAATTTTTATTTTTTATTTTATATTTCCCTCCAAAAGGGAAACTCCATCTTGCGGCCAGGCCTGGTTTGTGCATATGTATGTAGGTTTATAATTATACATTTTTCCCAACCTGCAGTTAGTTTCTTGTTTAACCAAAAATTCTTATAGGCACCTGTTTATTTCAAAGTAAGTCTTGAAACCTTTAATAAGGTATTTTAACTCATTTCATGTATTTCTCTCTCTCACACCTTTTTGCATTTATCTTTTTTCTAGCCTACCAATAGCTCTTGAATACTATATCTTCTTAAATGTTTCTGTCTGCTCTTTTACTTATAGTCGATCAACAAGATGTTGAACTCGATCTAAGATTCTTAGTGGCTGCCTCCACTGTATTCCTATCAATGTCGTTCCGCATTATTAGTGAGCTTCTAGACTATGTTAGCCGAAATCCCGAAATAGTAGACTTAATCGATAGGGAAATTAACAAGTTCATGGTAAGAGTGCATCGCAGAGATAACAAAAATTAGTTAAGCGAGTAAATTTTAATTTCATTTAAGGAAATGCCCATGCATCGTATTTTATAACTCACATAAACTATTTATCGTACCTAGAACATACATCTCTATATAGAAGGTTTTAGAATTCCCATTGCTTAGCTTTGGAGCTTAAAAATTCCCATACGAGTACTAATCTTGAATCTTATATTTCTTTTGCCTTTGCAGTACCAGTTTCCGCCACCGAGGACCCCGTCCTACACACAGTTCAGACCGTTGGCCGACTCTCGCACAAGATCTCGCGTCGTGTCTATCAGAACGTATCCAGACAGATCAAACGAATGCAAAAAGGAAACATAAACGACTATCTCAGCTCGCTGATTGCCGCATTAAAATTGCACCAGTACATCAATTTCATCAACGCATCGATGGGCTCAAATGTCGAGCAATCCTCCATTGCCGACGTTAGCCCCAACACCAATAACACAACAGCTGCCGCAGCGAACAACATCAACTCAGTTGCGTCAGCCAACGCTAACAAATCGGTAGCATCCCCATCAGCAACATCATCAACGGCGTCAGGGGCAGCGCCAAAGTCTGCGTCACCGTCAACTTCAACGCCAAACTCCACATCGGCAGCAAGGCGATCCAGCCAAACAAAATCGCACACTGCAACACCGCCAAAGGGAAACTAAGCCATAAAAGATAAAAATTCTAAATATAAATTTAAAAATATTCTGTCTTATCCTGAGTTTCGCCTGAAAAAAAATTCACCCGAAAATTTTTCATCCGCCCATAGTAAAACCATGGAAGCCAAAAGTGAAAAGTGAACCGGGTCGGGGAAAATGAAACTCATGATAAGGCTGAATATTACTTGAATTGAGTAGAAATTTTTCCAAAGTGTATTCGCTTAATATTTTGTTTACATAAAAGGTTTTTAATTAATTTTGTGCAGGAGCCAAATGGATTGAAGTTTTTTGACGTGAAAAGTGAACCGGTTCGGGGAAAATGAAACTCATGATAGGGCTGAATAAATAAGTACATTCATAAAAAAGTGAATACATACTTTAAATTTTCCTTTAAGCTATGCTTGAATATTTTGTTGGCGCGTATTAGTAGGCGCCAGCAGTGTGAAGCGAGTAAGCTACTGAAATTTGAGAAACAAGCGTATAAACATTTACACATTGTTTTTCCAGAAATTGAATGCGCCCTTATATGAAATACTATACATAGCAGTTAACTGGATTTCTGAAAAAGAAAAAAGATAAATTGACAGTTTACATTAAATTTAATTACGCCTTCATATGTATGCGTAAACAAAATTGCAAAATTATTGGATAGTTATAAATAATGTCATAGCCACACATTCAAACAAAATGGCTTCCGAGACATTGTCGTTGTCATGAAAATGTGAGTCACATTACATACATATATATCTGCTATTCTATACAGGGACGTGAACCGGATAAAAAATTTGGTCGGTTCGGTTCAGCGGTTCGAACCGTTTTTGCACTTTTGGACTGGTTCGTCAAAGCGTTTTTTTGGTATTTGAACCGGGGTTTCGGTTCGGAAATCAAAAAAAAAAAAAGTAACAGGCAAGTTTAAGTGTCCAGTGCAACAACGCGCAAGCGTTGGGTGTCAAGTGTCCGTTAAATCAGATGGATTGCCTTTAGATTTGATATCTCCAAAACGAAAAAGGTGGGTAAATGTATCTATTGAAAATTGGTTGAAACGAACCTTTAAACTTTTATGTGAAGTGGTTCGGTTTTCGGTTCGGATCAAACATTTGTGGAAAATTTCGGTTCGGTTAATAGTTTAGCTAATTAATAGAAAAAATCGGTTTTCCGGTTCAAAACCAGTTCACATCCCTGATTCTAGAGCATGGATATGTATGTGTGTATCTGCAAGAAGCTCAA